CCCCCCGTCGCCTCTCTGTGTTTTCCTGAATGCTAGTCGAACACATTATTGTGAACGCCTGGCCGCCACGCATGCCGCCCGAGTGGTTTCTCTCGTTTGTCTCATTGGTGGCGTGGCTTGGCGTTGCTCTGTAACGGCTTGTCTCTCGTAATAGCGACTGGGATCACACTCACACGCGCGCGCACGCGTCCCGTGCAATCCATTTAGAGCGAAAGAACGCGATACGATAGAGAAAGAGAGAAGTACTCTGATGGGTGGGGGTTTGGGTGGGACCCCCCCCCCCCCTCCCCGCTTTTGACCCCTGCCCCCAACCCAGCGGCGGCAATTGTTGCGGCAGAGTCAGCAGTCCACACTTGTTCACACCTCTCTTTCCCTCTCTTCTTCGTGACAGGAAAAGTGCCTGCCTGACACGCAAAAAAATAAAGTTCCGTGCTGAACAGTTTAGAGTTTAGCTTGATAATTTTACACCCGTGCGAAAATATCATCTGGATGTAAACAATTTAGCTGTACATCTAAGTGGCATTTAGCTACGGTTAATTGGAGGTGCGGTTTACTGGACGGCTAAAAATTAGCTCTGGTGCTAAACAAATTGGTCGAGTCTATTCAGTTAATTCTTTAACCCCGCGGTGCTAGCAAATTAGCAGGTGTTCCATTTTGTCTGCGTGGAGGCGCTGCGAGAAGGCACAAGAACGGCACGTGTGGTCATTTTAAATAAGTTTAAAACTCGATGTTGAATTTGTAACTGCTACTTGCAACTTGCTAAATACTGAAACCGGAAACAGAAATAGTAATAGGATGTGACAAACCATGAAATAGACGTGATGTGCACTGGGTTTGCCTACCGACACTCCCCACGGTGCCTTTTCTGTGGTTAAAAGGCATGCTTCCTTCGCGCCCACATTCTGGGTCTTTTTTGGGAATTTTTTATTTGCACTGTTTTATAAATGTATTTCGAAATACGAAACGTCCCGAAAATGTTTTACAGTGATACAACCTACGAACGAATTAGTTTGTAAGGTTGCGAAAGACGGGTCTTTTGTATGACAAATGACAATCAAATTTAATGGTACGCTTACGAATGTGTTTCGCCTTGCTTAAAAATTTGTTTGTAAGCTGCGAAGCGATAATTGCTTTTGTATTACAAAGCTTCCAAATTGTTTGCAGGTAATTCTATACAAAATTGGTAAGTATTGCTTAGCAAGGGTGTAAAAAATGCACAGCTTTGCTCCTCTCCACCGGTTTGTCCCATCATTCCACCATTTCAATTTCCAGCCGCAGTATTCAATATTCACACTCTGCCTTTTTTAGGGGGGCGTTGTCGTCTCCGTAGGCCCGGCGCGGTAGGTGCTCGCGGCAGTTCGGCAGACACGCTCTGTGATTGACACCCCGTCGTGCTTTCCACGTCCGTGTCGGCGGCGCGTCGTGGCGTGGCTCGCGCGCGGCTTTGACACGCTCACGCTAGGTTACGGCAGCCCCGCCATAACTTTCATTATCACTACACGCACCGCGGTGCCCTGGCGGTGCCGCGCCGGCGGGGTCGCGAAGCGCGTGGAGCAGGCGGAGCAGCGCAGAGCGGTGTCTTCCTCCTTCACGGGCGGGGAGCACAGACATAATTAACACAACCATCTCCTCCTCCTCATCCAGGCGAGTGACTTTTCCTTCTTGCCAAGAGCAGGTTGTCCCCTTTTGGCCCGTCTGGAAACAAGGGTGGCGACAGCAGGAGCACCCCGACGATCCCAGCAATGTATTCGCATAACATACCACTTAGCGCGCAGCGCGTATCCAAAGTCAGTCACAAAGAAATACAGATGGGGAATCTTCACAAGTGTGTGTACACACCTTCCACAACGTGGTCACGTTAAGGCTCCTCTGCTTCGGCATGGCCTCCACTTGCGCGTGCAGCAGCAGGCCGAGGAGCACCAGGGCGGGGCCCAGGGCGGCGCTGCCCGGCGCCATCGCGGTCCTCACACGGTCGGCCCGGCGGGGCAGGGGCGGCGGCTTGTCCACTTCGACTTATCCACACATGGCGGCTCCAAGACGGTATCCTTGTCCCTGGCGACGATGGTTGCACTTCAGACACACACTACACTGGCGCGGGCGGCGGGAGCGCGACGACGCGGTCCTCGTGGGCCCGGCGGGAGCTCGCCGACGACACCCTCGCACGCACGCGAGTCTCGGACGCGGACAGGATGTCGGCGGCGTCCCGGCGGGCGTCTTGGCGCGCGGCACTCGGCCGATTACGGCGGCGGGGGCCTAACCACCGCGCGGCCTGACCGGCGGGGCGGGAGGGCCCGGGCCGGCGCGG